GATAGATAGATAGATAGATAGATAGATAGATAGATAGATGATAGATAGATAGATAGATAGATAGATAGATAGATAGATAGATAGATAGATAGATAATAGATAACGTTTAGTGCTGCTGTTATAATGTGGTGTCCAGTCTGAAGGAAGCCTTCAGAGGGTTTTCAGAGGTCGAGACGGACTGGCCATCTTCCATCTGTGAAGCAGGTAGTGGGTTTAAACCATCTGCCTTTGGGTTCCTAGTGCAATTCCTGACTAGGCCACCAGAACTCTCTGTGAGCCAACTAGATCCAAGGTCACTTGGATTGTGAGAATGTCATCAGAGCAAAGTCTGTTAAATAGAAAACTCTATTAAGGGCACACGGTAGGGGAGAAGAAAGGAAGGAAGGAAGGAAGGAAGACCCAAGGAAACATTAAATATAAAGTTCTTCAACAGAACAGAGAGCTGGGTTACTGAGTCACTGGCAGTATTCTACCTTATCCATGTGTGTGTAGCTCAGAGAAAAGATTCTCACGTGATCTCAAAAATACCTATGTGACTGCTCTGTCTTGAGCCAATTTCCTCAACCCTAACATACCTACCCCCATCACCACTGTCTATCTTTCTCTCATCTGCCTGCGAGTGGATTTGAACTACATGCCTTTGGGGTGTGAGTGCAACTCTTTACCACTAGGACACCAGAGCCCCTTAATTCTATCATTTTCTCAGGAGATGATGGATTGCTCATCTGTTACCTATGGAGCACCTAGTGGATTTAAACCACACGCCTTTGGGTTGGCTAACTCACCCCTCCTTGTCCCAACACCAAACTGCTTTTTCTTCTCCTCACAGACAGATTGACGGCCAAGACCTCACGGGCCTGCTCCTGGGGACGTCCGCCCACTCGGACCACGAGTTCCTGATGCATTACTGTGAGGACTCCCTGCACGCCGTCCGCTGGCACCAGAGAAGCCGTAAGGACAGGACGTTCCCAGGGATGCCGGGGTGGACACGGGCTGGGGACGCAGGGACATCCGTGTGTCCATTTCCACCACACTCCTCCTCTGTGGCTTTTCTTCTTATGTGTCTTTGAGCAAACTATCTATTCACCGTCTTTCTGATAGACACTTGGATTGTTTTATGTGTATGGGTCAGGGATGCCCATTGTGGGGGTGGACCACATGGTGTGTGTCCACCATTTGGATGCTGCACGGTGCAGATAGATATGACCAGGTGTGGCCACCTTGTAACATCATCTCTCACCTTGGACTACTATTCCTCTCCCCCTCCCCAGGCAACACCATCTGGAAAGTGCATTTCCTGTCCCCCAAGTTCCACCCAGAGGGTGCGGGAGCCTGCTACGGCCGAGGCGTGTGTCCATGCTCCGGGCCTGGGGTCACCCGGCACGACCCGCCTCTGCTCTTCAACCTCTCCGGGGACCCTTCCGAAGCCCAGCCCCTCACACCGGCCACGGAGCCCTCGTTCCACCAGGTCCTGGACAGGGTGGTCTCTGCTGTTAAGGATCACCGGCGGACGCTCAGCCCCGTCCACCTGCAACTGGACGCCCTGGACAATATCTGGAAACCCTGGCTGCAAGAGTGCTGTGGCCTCTGGCCCCTTTGCCACTGTCGGCCAGAAGACCGCTGACCGTCAATGCCAGCAAAGGCCGGACATGGTCTTCGCCCATGACTCATGGACTCTTAGGGCTCGGGAGTTAAAAATGAAACGCTGCTCACCACAAGGTCAAGGGTTCAAAGCCACCAGCTGCTCCAAGGGAGAAAGTTGGGTGACTGAGATGCAGTCGACTCTAACTCATGTTCTTCTTTTGTGCCATCAAGTCGTCTGCCACTTATCAGTGACCCTACGTACAACAGCTCTGAACTCCACTCTGTCCTGTGCCAATTGCACTGTCTCTGACACACCCACCCCCATGACCCCAGTCACTGTATCAAAGCATTTCAAACAGGGTCTTCCCCTCCTGCGCCATCCCTCCACCCTCCCAAGCATGATGTCCCTCTCCAAGGACTGGTCCCTCCTTGCAATATGACCAAAGTATGTCAGACAAAGCTTCAGAATCCTTGCCTTAAAAGGAGCAGCCTGGTTTCACCCTTTCCAGGACAAATTTGTTTTCCTAGCAGTCCATGGTACCCTCAATACTCTTCTCCAGCACCACAGCTCAAAGGCATCAATTCTCCTTCTGTCCTCCCTAGTCATTGTCCAACTCTTTGATGCATCACAAGTGATTGCAAAGACCATGGCCTGTATCAGGCACACCTTAGTCTCCAGAGTGACATCATTGCTCTTCAGTGCTTTGGAGAGGTCTCTGACAGCATCCGTATAAGAGACCTGAGCCCTGTCCTGTCCTCACGATTTCGGACAGACTCCAGCACATAGCTGCGGTCACTGTGTCCATCTGTCTTGTTGAGAGTTATTCTGTCCTTCCCTGCCCCATCTCCTGCTAACCCCTTGCGTGTCAGACTAGCACTGACCCACACACGCCTTGAAAGTCTGGCCATTCTCAGCAGCGGAGCAGCAGATCTTTTGTGCCAAGGCATCCCTGGTGGGATTTGAACCAGCAAACCTCTCCAGCAGCACCTGGACGCCCAACCTTCCTTGTGCACCATGTGTGGGTCTGAATAAAATCAGGTGAGATGTCTGGGGGTGGCTTTTTCTGTTATGTGAATGGAGCCAGACTGAGGGGTCTCAAGCCTCATCATATCAGAAGAGCTGGGGAGAAAGGAAGCAGAAGTTAGGGATGGAACTGGAGAAGTGGATGTGGGCATGCAAGGTGGACAGAGAATGGAGACCTCCAGCTGCCTGGATTGTTGGGAGGGTGGGATAAAAAAACAAAGAAAATCTCTTCTTTAAAACCACTTAGAATGCTCACAGACCTGGAAAAACCAGTTCCCAAATAGGTTTCCCAGAGGGGCAGAGTTCTGGGGATTAGAGGAGATTACGGACAGGGGCGGCTCCTCTGGGCCCTGGGGGCTCTTGGAGAGGCCACTCGCCCTGACCCACTGAGTCAAGCTGAGTCACTTCAAGCTGAGCCTAGCTCCGGACCGCGATGCTCACCACCAGGTGTGGGGACCCCCTCCCCAGCCAGGGTGGGCCTATCACTGGGGTACAACCAGGTGCCAGAACCCAGGACACACCAGCTGTAGAAGAAGGGATAGCCAGGTGTCTGGACCAGGATGGACTCCTTCCCCCTGGGTTCTAGGGGAAAGGGGGCTGACCAGGTGCCTGGACCAGGACGGAATCTCTCCTAATGCCAAGGTTAAGGGAGGGAGGGTGGTGACCAGGACCCAGAAAGACCCCATTGTGGGACAGGAAAGGATTAGGGATGGAATTAAATGAGTTATTTGGACCAGTGACTGAGAACTCACGCCTAGCTGACCCTACAGTGGGTTTTCAGAGGCTGTAAATGACAGGGCAGGGAGTTGCCCCTGTACCGCCCTCAGAGCTGCTTTGGCCTGGCAGAGACACTTGTTACCAAATCTGGGGGGGGGGCCCAATGTAGTAAGGGGGTGACCAAGGGCTTGGACATTAGGATGAGACAGTGAGGCCCACAGCCGCGTGGGGAGCAAGGGGTGACCAGGACCTGACAGCAGAGGAAACCGCCTGTGTAGACCTTACTGGGTACAGACCTGGGGTGCAGGGGTGTCCACTCCGGAGGGGTGTCTGGGTGCGGTGGGGATGGGCCAGAGAGGTTCAAAGGTCCGGCAGAAGCCTGGGCCATGTCTCCAAGGTCAGCCAGAACTCCAGGCGACCAGAGGGTGGGGGCGGGAAGGAGAGAGGATAGAAAGGAGGAGGGACAGCGCCGGACACGCGCCTCCAGGCAGCCTGAGACCTGTTCCCGCTGTCCAGCACCCCCCCCCCCATCAAGACCCTGGGAACCTCTGTCCAGCTGATTCTGTCTCGCCCCTGGACCCCGCTGTCCAGTCCACTCCCTGGACCCCAGAATCACAAAAGGCACCCCAGCCAGAGATACCCCCCCATTCAGGGAGCTTTAACTCCCCAAATATCCCCCAGCCAGGACTCCCTAGCCCCCCACACCATCTAGCCTGTAAATTGGGCCCTGACACAGCTTCAAATCAGCTCCGTCCCTCCCCCAGTCTGGACATCCACTCTGTAGTCTCCCAGGCCCCCACACCACCCCAGTCAGAGATGCCTCCCTGCCTCCAACCAGGGATGCCCCAGGTCCCCACACCGGCCCCCAGTCAGGGGGACACCCAGCCTTATCAGAGACGACCCCCTCCAGGCCCCACAGGGAGGAAATCAAGGTCTGGGATGCCCAGCCTCGCTTTATGGCTTTGTCCCTCCCCAAGCAGGACGCTGAGCCTCTCCACAGTCCAGGACACGCCCACCTTATCCACTCATTTTCCTGCTTCCTATGACGGCCTGGGTCCGTCCCACCTCCAGCTTGGGCACGCCCCTTCCCTCCATCCGGCTCTGACCACTCCCTGTCCTCCAGCGGTGACGCCTGGCCTGGGCGGGATCTGGAACCTAGGACATGCTGGGAATCCTACAGGTGCCCTGGGAGCCACTGGGGGCCCGATGGCACAAGGGAGACCTGACCCCCCACCTCCAACCCCCTCCACGGCTCTTTAGACCCTCAGACCCAGAGCTGGACAGAGGATGGCGCCTCCGGCCTGTCCTTCCTGGTCTCAGCCCCGGGTCTGGGGCGGGGAAGCCGTGGGCCCGCCCCCCAGGAGTCTGCAAAGGCTGCATGACCAGAGCGCGCGCGCCCTCCAGCACCAGTTTTATTCCTGCGTAAAGCTGTAACTACCACTTTGCCAAACAACTCCACATCGCTGGCATGGTGTTGAGCCCCTCGGTCCCCCTGTGAACCTTTCTTCAAATGTAAGCCCTCCTCTTGGGAACCTCGCGCCCCCTCCCCTCGTCCGTGTGCACCTGAGCTGAGGGCGCACAGACGAGGCCGCTGGTGGACTTTATACCTCCTGGCCCTGCTGGTGGGGGACTTGGGTTCTGAAAGCGCAAACACGGTGCCGTGACCGCCAAAAAGAAATAAAAAACAGAGAGGGGACAGACAGGAAGGAAGACAGGGACAAGGGAATGTGTAGATTTACGCGCGCCCTTGGAGACACAAGGAGTGAACTAGTAGAAGCCATTCTTTGTCATTTAGAGGCGCAGTGGTCCCCATGTGAGGCTGTTAATCTCACGAGTATCCTTTGACGAAGCCCCAGCTGCACACTGGAGGATGAGGTGGAGAAGGAGGACCTGGCGTAAACATCACAGCCCTGCAAGTCCAAGAGACACTGCTGTGCATTGTGGTTGCCAGGGATCCGAATCCACAGACACCTCTCTTTCTCTCTCTGGGCTGACACCCAGCTTGCTTGGCGCGCTCAGCCCTTGGGGAATCCCTGACGTCTTTTTGTTTCTTCTCCAGGGGCCTCCTCCAGCTTCTCTTCGCTGCCTCTCTGCTTCTGAGGGCCTGGCACGGGGAGGCCCACTTTCAACCCAACATGCTCCTGATCATGGCTGATGACCTTGGCATTGGAGACCTTGGCTGCTATGGCAATAATACCATAAGGTAAAGCTGGGGAGGGTGTGTGGGGGGGCAGTGTGTGGAGGGGGTCAGATTGGAATTGCTTGATATTTTTTTTTTTCCTGAAAAAAAAAATTTAAAATCTGCTCTGGAGACACTTAGAATTTCCCTAAAGCATTACCTGGTTAGATGCCATGGAATAAACTACTCCCCCAGGGGAGGTTGCACTTCTCTTTGTTTTCTTGGGATATTTAATTCTCTTCTCCAGCACCACAACTCAAAGGCACCCATTATTCACCTTTTCTTATTCACGGTCCAGCTCACCAAGGAACAGGAAGCCAATTGAAAATGCTGTGGCCAAGGTCAGACACACCTTAGTCTCTGAAGTGACATCCTTCCTCCCTGGAGCAGTCCTGGACAGCCGATTCTCCCAGTGGCCACACATCTTTTGATTTCTTAACTCCAATGAATGTTGGTTGTTAGACCTAAGTGAAATGAACTCCTTGACAACGTCCATCATTTTCTGTCCTGCTATCTTGCCACTTGGTGAGGAGGTTTTTTTAATTTTTCTATGCCTTTGAGCTGTGGTGCTGGAGAAGAGTATTGAGAGTACCATGGACTGCTAGGAAAACAAACAGATTTGTCCTGGAAAGGGTTAAACCAGGCTGCTCCTTGGAGGCAAGGATTCTGAGGCTCCGTCTAACAGACTTTGGACATGTTGTGAGGAGAGACCGGTCCTTGGAGAAGGACATCATGCTTGGGAGGGTGGAGGGACAGCGCAGGAGAGGAAGACCCTCTATGAGGTGGATTGATTCAGTGACTGGGATAATTGGGATGGGAGTGTCGGAGACAGTGCGATTGGCACAGGACACAGCAGGGTTTAGGGCTGTTGTACGTGGGGTCACAGGTGACTCGACGGTACATCACAACAACAAACATCAATGTGTTGACATGTCAGAGGCCTTTACCGCTGTCTCCAAAACTAGACTCTCTCCTGAGTTCTCCCTGGTGCATCTCAGAAAAAAGGCCTGCGGATTTGTTTCTGAGACATCAGTCGTCAAAATGCTGAGAATCTTTTAAAAAACCCAGAAAAAAAAAATCAAAACGTCTTTATGGACAAGAGGGTGTGTGAGTGAATGTGGTGGGTGTGATGTGACAGATAATTCAGAGAGCAAATTGGTTTTCCCTTAGACCCCTTATCTGCTGGGCATTTTTAACGACAATCTCCAGCGTGGAACAGCACTTTTCCACATCCATTCGTGTGACTCTCATTTCCACCCATCCTTCTTTCCCAGCCTTTTCTGCCTCCTGAGATTTATTCTGACAAGACAAACTCAAAAGGGGTTTTGTTTTGTTTTTTAAGGAGTCACAGAGTGGGCCGTAAATATGGGCACAGAATTTAACAATATAAAAATGCACAGACTTTAAAAAAAATAAAAATGACCAGACTTTCTAGGCTGATGGATACTGTAGGCCTTGGACATGCTTTGAGACTAAATCCTTTGCAATAAAATCAGTGTTGTACAAAATGTTGTCCACAAAAAAAATTTTAAAAAGACAACAGAAAACAAAATGTTGTCCACAAAATGTGTTGGAGAGCTAAATTTTCACTCAAATCATACTTTGAAAGTAATTTTGTGTGGTTGTTTGGTTTTGGTTTTGTTTTTTTGCTTTGTTTTTAATTGTATTATTATTATTAATTTAAATGAAAGTTTGCAGAGACTTAGAGTTTCCAGTCATTCATTGTTGCACTTTTCTCCCTGCCCACCCCTTCCCCCCAATTTACTCTTCTCTTTGAAAAGAAAAACTCTTCCCTCCGCCCTAATTCACTCTTCTTCTTGGAAAGAAAAACTCTTTCATTGTTATACAATCAGTCCCGCCAAGACCACTCCACTGGGCAGCCTTCACACTGGACTCCTGTCATGACAATATCCATTGATATGTCCCTTTTAAACCATTCTCTCCCTCATCTGTTTCAATGCAGTATACATAATTTATCCAGTTTTTCTCAATCTTACCCCAACCCTGGTGTCAGTCCCATTCTACAACAGTGGCCCTATGCAATATTTGTCATTTTGTGACTGAGATATTTCACTCAGCACAATGTCCTCCAGGGTCACCCATTTTGTATAATATTGCATGAGTTCCTTGTTTTTCAATGCAGCGTTGTATTCCATTGTGTGAATAGACCACAGTTTCTCTATCCATTTGTTTGTTGATGGGCACTTGGGTTGTTTCCAGATCTTTGCTATTGTGAACAAAGCCACAATAAATATGTGTGTGTGTGTATATCTGCTTGGATGTCAGTTATGGTCTCTTTGGGGTATATTCCCAGTCGTGGAATTGCTGAGTCAAGTGGTATTTCTATTTGCAACTTTTTGAGAAAGTGCCATATAGTCTTGCATAGTATTTGCACAAAAAAATAATTTTACATTTTTTATTTTATTTTCTTGTGTGTGTGTGTGTGTGTGTGTGTGTGTGTGTGCGCGCGCGCCGTCAAATCGGATCAGACTGGTCCAGGAGGAGATTACCCCTCCTTCTCCAGCAAAGCATCTGGTAGATTCGAGACGTAAACCTCTGGGATTGCAGTGCAGCTTCTTGCCACTAGGCCACCAGAACTCCCCTAAAAATAATTTTTTGAGGCCTTCTTCATGACTTCCTTTCATGTATGTATCCTTACTTTTTATCTTTAAAACCAAAAAAACAAACAAAAAAAATTTTTAATGGAGAACAGCTCTGGTCAGACATACGCAGGATTGCTTTTGAGTCTGGGGACACAGGCTGGATTTGGTCCCAGGGAAGCCCTCCCACACCCACATCCCTGACAGCATATATGGTTCCCCCCAGGACACCCAATATCGACCGCCTGGCCAGGGAGGGCGTGAGGCTGACCCAGCACCTGGCGGCTGCACCTCTCTGCACCCCAAGTCGAGCGGCCTTCCTGACGGGCAGACACTCCTTCCGCTCAGGTGGGTGTCCTGGGGAGCAGGGAACTGGGCTGATTAGAGACCTCTCACTCAGAAATCTCTGACCTCAGGGTAGAGAGGTGGATAGGTCATCCCCCCATGCCCAAGTCCTCCGTGTCCCCGTCCTCAAGGCCTCCTTTGTAAGGGTGCTTGGAGTCTTTATTCTAGAGAAGTGAAAGCGTCTGCTGATGGTGGTAAACTCGAGCTGAGTTGCATGACTTTCCGCAGCACAGAGACCACATGTTGGAAGGACCTGGAGGGACCAAGGAGCTATCGGCTCCCTGGGATGGATGCTGGGGGCCCCCCAGGAGGGTCTCAGCCCTGTCTGTGCCCTCCTTCAGAGGACCACCGCTCTCTTGGTTTCTGATGGTTGGCTAGGTGGATATTCTCTGGGTAGTTATGATGGTGGGTGGATGGATAGAGAGATGGACAGATGCCAGGACTGATGGATGTTTAGGTAGATGAATGGAGAGAGAGACTGATAGGTTATTAATAGGATGGATGGATGGATGGATGAATGGATGGGTAGATGGATGGATGGATGGATAGATGGTGGATAGATGGATGGATAGATGATGAAGGATGGATGATGGATGGGTGGATAGATGGATGGATGGTGGATGGGTGGATAGATGGATGGATGGATGTGTGGATGGATAGATGATGGATGATGGATGCATGGATGGATGGGGAGGTAACAGATATGGTGGACATGTAGATAGATGAGTATTTGATGGACAGACAAATGATGGATTTGATAGACTGACAGTAGACAGTCAGACAAGTGAGTATACATGATGGAGAAATGGAGAGATGACCACTAGGCGGTCAATGAGAAAGGCAGAAGCACATGGACTTTGCTGGACGAGTGGGTGTTGGGTGGTTGGACTGGTCCATGAGTGACCATCCTAAGAATCGCTGAGACACCATGGTGAGCAGCTGTCCCCCTGCTGTGGGGTCCTCAGATCCCCCCCATGTCCAATCCCATTGCTGCCATCACCGTGTGCAACCATCTCACTGAGAGTGTCCACTTCTCCACTGGCCCTCTGATACCACATCCCAGCACTGTCCTCCAGGGCCAGGCCATCACCTGGCACTGGCTGGGGGTCCCCACAAGAGCACACTGACCATCCTCTCTGGTTGTCCCCACAGGCATGGACGCCACAGACGGCTATCGCGCCCTGCAGTGGAATGCGGGCTCCGGGGGGCTCCCGGCCAACGAGACCACCTTCGCACGGGTCCTGCGGGATCAGGGGTACACCACGGGCCTCATAGGTAGGTGTCATTACCAGAAATCTCTCAGAAGTTGTTAACTTCCTAAAACACGACCTATCTACCCAAAATCCCAGAGGGGACCACACCTTCCCTTCCTTGACGGGTCTGGTGTGGGAAGAAGCTCACCATAGTATCATCTCAGGGATTCTTAGTCCACTACCATGGTCACTCATGGACCTGTCCACCCACCCACCCACTCTTCCACTGAAGTCCGTGTGCTTCTGCCTTTCTCACTGACCTAGTGGTCATCTCTCCATTTGTCCATCAGCCCTTACTGATCACAGAGGACCAGCCAAGGGTCTTGATGTCACCATGGGGACCCTGGATTTGCCGGGGGGGTGGGGGTGGTGGCAGGACACATGGGACACACAGCTCTAAGGTCAAGGTTCTGAAAGGAGGGTGACCAGAGAGTGAAGGCATACGTGTAGGGAGAGGCTGGGAGGAAGTTTCTGGAAGACATTCCCTAAAAATATACACACAAAAGGGAGCTCTGGTGGTCTATAGGCAAGAAGCTGCACTGCAATCCCAGAGGAACACGGTTCAAGTCCACCAGATGCTCTGCTGGAGAAGGAGGGACAATCTCCTCCTGTACCAGTCACATCTGATTTGATGGCAATAATAATAATAATAATAATAGATATACACATACAAAGACATACACAAAGTATTTCTGGCTGACTGCACACCAAGCCTGGGTGGTCCTCCTTTGTGTAACAGCTGTTCTCCACAGCACACAAGTTCATTCTTTTTCTTTCTGCCGCCTTTTCTCCCTCTTTTGATTTTTATTTGAATGCCAGGTTACAAATCATACGGGCGTTCTGTTGCAATTGCATTTACACCCATTTTATTTTCTGGCATTCACGACAGAGCGTTGAGTTCATTCATAAGTAGGTCAGATCAACTGCTTCCTTCAACAGGGGTTTGTGTCTTTTTAAAAAAATATTATTATTAATTTGGACAATTAAAACAGACATTCGGGGTGGGGGAAGAAGAACAAACTGGTGAGGAGGGTAGAGCAGTGCAACA